AGGCGTTATAATGTGATCGTCGTTGATAAAGAGTAGCCCAAGAGCTGGCGGTAGGTGGTGTTGACTAACTGCCTTTCTTATAGTTTATCACTTCAAAATTAGGGAAGGCTACCGCAGATGGCCCTCGAATAGATTTATGCAAAATTTAGCAAAGAAACAAGCAATCTGTGACGTGATGGAATTGGAACATCCATTTGGTGTGATGTTCAGCGAGTTTTTCATACCTCCTAGACTCTTCTCAAGTCTGTTCATTTCTGATCAGTATTCCTGCGTTGACTGGCCTATCCAGGTTTATCTTAGGAAATGCAATGGGCGGAAGATTAGTTGAAAAGAACTGATTGATTTAGCATTTTACGGAAAGCTACACAAAGACTATCTGTGCTAGCTGACCCTAATTTTGAATTGCTAGTCAACAGTACCAATCGCCAACTTTTGGGCTACGCTTTTCTGAAAGAACAGTGGGATTTCACCATCACATTATTGTAGCGTCTCAATTGCCCCAAACTGCGGAGGGCGTTTTTGCGGAAACGGATGTATAGTTCGAGCATGCTAACCACTCGCCCACGCCCGGCCCATTAATCTATACTTATTGTTTGTTGTGGGTTGTGATATTTCAAAGTCTATTCTTATCTACCATTTTTAAGAAATTTCTTTTGGCACACAAGTTCTTTTAATTTCATGTCAAACACCGGATATCCTCCCTAGTTGTTGTCTGTAAAATCAGTTGGGCTATAAGAGTAAGTGCTTGAAGAAGTGTTTAAAAGAATAACGTCTTTTTTTTACTTGCACTTCCGTGCATTCTCAATTTGTTCACACCGTTAGGCATATGAAATGTTCACAAGTGTTATTATTTATTTTGCAAAATATTTGAAGTATTGATTTTCTCTTCTTGTAATATTATATGCGGACATACGCACGCACGCAAACGCACACACACACACACTTGCAGATTTATATCTATACATATACATCCATACATAGTTATACGTATATTGTTTGTTTGTTTGTAATTAAGCACAAAGCTACACAATGGGCTATCTGTGCTCTGCCCACCACGGGTATCGAAACCCGGTTTCTAGCGTTGTAAGTCAGCAGACTTACCGCTGTGCCACTGGGGGCTTATACGTATATAGTCTTGAAATTTATTTAAAAGGGGCAAACTGTACTTCGATGACAAAGCTTGCATGTCAAATAAAAACTTCGGTCTCAAAACAAAAGTATTAACTTTGAGAGCAAACAGCAAAGAGTGGGATGAAATTGATTATTTCTTGATGGGGGATGAAACCGTGCCGTCACTCAGACCTACAAGTTAATCGGACCAACTAACAGTACACGTTGAAAGAAAAAAGCATGCATGCAAATATCTACTAAACCGAATACAACTCCTTTTATTTAAAAAAAAGAAGAAACAACAACAGTAGGCGAAGAAAGTGCCAACGAACTTAGTATAGTGATCACATTTCAAAGTTGTTCTTTGAAGAAGATTGAAAGGCAGTTCGCTTTTCAATACAGTGGTCTAGGGTTTCTTAGAAAAGCGCATGTAAAGTTAATAAGAATAGGTCATAAATCTTATCTCAAACAGAATTGTCTCATCCTTTTGAGGAGAAATTCTGAGTGGTCAGCACGTTCTTTGAGGATATCTTCTTGTGTGGCCTACCACGTGGTGATGTCCATTGGACACCTGATGGACACTTGGCATAGTAAGGGAAGATTTTCGAGACTGTAAAATTATACATTGAACGTTATATTTCTTCCCCTATACTACAGAGTAACTTATACATAGTGTAACTGCACTATGAATGAAGGGAAATTTTTACTGGTTCCAATACTTTAATATAGAAGGCTAACAACTGTGTGATTACTAATAATTACATTATATCTAATACATTCTAAGCTGTTTAATTTTTATGATTTTTATTGTAAAGTATTTTTGTATCTTAAACGTTAAACCTTTTTTTTTTTAGCAGCATTCCCTTTTTTTTTGTCCTCGTTACTAGCTCGGCATTATTAAATTATTTCTAACGAATGTAACATACAGTTAGTATAATTGTGTTGTAGGTAACTTGAAATTATTTTGAATGACTTAGTGTAATCATAATAAACAAATAATGTATACATTTTAGGTCCAAACAGAGGGCGAAAGACATTGGATAATAAAGGCGTAGAGAGAGAGCACCGCTTAATGGTTAATTTATATAGACGGCCGGGAATGATCTAGTCTAGTGGTTAGCACGTAGAACTGGGGATCAGAAGGTCCCAAGGTTCGAGCCACGATGTGCCGCCGAACACGCTATGCACTTTCAGTTATGATAGCTTTGCAATCGTGATAGTCAATCCCGCTATTCGATTAAGTGTAGTCGTAAAGGCGGCGATACTACCGATTGGTTACCCTCCCTCTGGTAAACAGTTCCAAAACTGTTGTGGTTGAAACTTGGAGTGCTCTTTCACATTAAAAATACCAAATATCAAAGCGGATACTACTGATTGGTTACCCTCCCTCTGGTGAACAGTTCCAAAACTATTATGGTTGAAACCTGGAGTGCTCTTTCACATTGAAAATACCAAATATTAAAGAAACATACAACCTATAAATTATTATAGTGTCAATAAAAAACGGTGAAAACAACAACTTTGTACTATATAAAAGTTCCTTTCTTATTAGCAGTTTTTTTCCCCTGCAGAAATGTTCAGTTTCTTGACAATTTGAAATTTATTTCCACGTTACACCTTTTCAGAACTGTCAAGACAACTTCTTCAAAACAATTGTGAATATTTGTACACGGTATGTTAGCTTACAAGAGAGTTCTAGAAAAAACAAAAATTAAAATCGCACGCAAACGTTTTTGGAAGATAAACTGTTTTAGAGGGATAACTCTCAGCTTCTGTCAATATCTATTTATCACGGTTGAATAATATTTGTTTTTGTTTAAGCGCAAAACTGCACAATGAGCTTCGAACCCAGAATTTAGTGTTATAAGTTCTCAATGTCTACGTGTTATGCATATAGTTTATGTTATGGGAAAATAACAGCTTTAGAAAACCTTAAGGACAAAAACCACAACTTTTTTAAAATTTTACCAATGAATAGAAAAAAGTTAAATCAGAACAACAACAACAACAAAAAAAAATGATTCTTTATACTTATTTCATAAATTCATATTCAACGCTAGGGATGAAAGTGTACACGTAGACGTTCCATTTTAAGTAAGACATTGTTTGTTTAAAGTTAAGCACAAAGCTACACAATGGGCTATCTGTGCTCTGCCCAAATATAAGTTTAACAAGATTCAGGTTCTTACAAAATGATGAAAGGAAACCGTGACTGTTTCTCTGATGCTCAGTTCAGACTGTCTTTGTTTTATATCACAAATTGTAATAATAAACAACTCGCTAAGTTTCAGGAAAAAAAAATCGAATCAAGTGGACTTACCAGTTTATTCATTGACCAGTGGAATAAAAACAATACATTAGTTTACATCACTGATGAGACACTTATAACACACATGGGCTGGGCGTGCCCCAATGGTTAGCGTGCTTAGACTGTGAATCCGAATATTCTCTTGGCCTCAACAAAGCGCTCCACATTTTGGAGCTGCGGACTGACTGTAAGTGTAAAAGTGAAATTATACTATTTTTGTTAGATAAGAGTAGCCCATGAGGGACGGTTATGCGCAGACAGTCCTTTATGTAGCTTTTGCGCAAACCTTTTCAAAACAAACAAAGATGACATGACACACACTAACGATTGTAGAACTAAATTAATGGTTTTTACATAGGACAGGAAGAAAAATGATATTTGTTTTGATATTAAAGCTTGGAAGAGGATACCTGTAAGAATAGGATATTATGTGTTGTAAGGATTAACAGGAATGTTTGAAAATGGTTTTAATATCTTTCTGGAACTGTGCTTGAATGTTAACATAGCACACATGGGCATACTAATTTCATATTTTTTTTGTTTAACATGATTTGTATGTAATTAACTATGATATATATATATATTATATAGGTATGCATATATGTTTGTACACGTCACTACTTCCTGCCCGAAGCTAAATATACATGGACAACGTTAATTGTTTAATCGAGTCAGTGTTAAAATGACAGGATCGAGAGATTTTAAAACATAACTAAAAAAAAAAATACCCTCGTTAAGAGGAGGTGATGGGTAGGGTTGATCGTTGTCGCGTGACGCTGTGAGACATGCCACCCACAGTGGTATGTAGGCTGCAGGATGACAAGAGACGAATGTACTTTCAAGGAGAGTCTCCGTGGACTCATTCCAAGCTGGTTGGGTCCGGGAATTTGTATATTACGTCTCTCACTGCGATAAGCACCACAGCGTCGTAGTCACTAGGCTCCTTGCTCATCTAGAGATGTTTTATTAACATTGTCATTTTAGTTTGAATGCCAAAGCATGAAGCGACCATGAATAATTTCGGAAGTTGACCCTAGTGTAAGTAAAAGGAAGCTAAGAAAAAGCAACAACAACAACTTTTAGACAGCTTGTTAGTCTTAATTTAAACTTAGTATTTACGTGATATGAATAATGCAACCGTTGAATCTAAATATTCTATGCCACAGTACGTTTTTCTGTTAGACGATCACAAAATTATCCGTTCTTCAGTATTTCCTCTTAATTTAAACTTAGTATTTATGTGATATGAATAATGCAACCGTTGAATCTAAATATTCTATGCCACAGTACGTTTTTCTGTTAGAAGATCACAAAATTATCCGTTCTTCAGTATTTCATCTTAATTTAAACTTAGTATTTACGTGCTATGAATAATGCAACCGTTGAATCTAAATATTCTATGCCACAATACGTTTTTATGTTAGAAGATCACAAAATTATCCGTTTTTCAGTATTTCAGAATTAATAAAGAAGCGCGACTTGAAAATAAAATAATTTCCTTTCCTGACAGTTTTGATTATTTTATTGACAACTGATGACTTAACAAACTCAGAGTTAAGGAGTTTCTCTCTTTGTGTTGCAGGTCCTCGAATGCGAAAGCTGAAGTCTAAAAAGAAAGCTCCGGACGAGAAGCGGCCGAGAACCGCCTTCACCGCAGATCAGTTGGCACGTTTAAAGCAGGAGTTTCAAGAGAACCGATATCTGACAGAGAAACGACGTCAAGAGTTAGCGCAAAACCTTCAACTGAAAGAATCCCAGATTAAAATCTGGTTTCAAAACAAGCGCGCTAAAATTAAAAAGGCCAGCTGTGAGAAAAATCCCCTAGCTCTACAACTAATGGCGCAAGGCCTTTACAACCACAGTACTGTTCCCGTCCATAATGAGGATGACGAAGACGGAGACTCAAGTTATTCCGCGTGAACTTACACCCAAACAACGAAATCAAAGAAATGAACTTTTGTAAAGAACGACTTTTTAAACTGTTTATCCTTTGTACAACTTCGCATTTTACGTAGCGGGAAACTTCTTGTTGGGGTGTTTGACCTCGATGACGTAAAACGTTTTCAGTGCAGCCTAACATTAATTTACAGGTGATAAGGATTCTGTTGGTGTTGGAAAGACTACTTCTGTACAATGATTTGTATCGAGTTATGTATGTTCGGTATGTACATAAATAACTTTATAAGATATTGGACCGTGAAGGAACTATATGGATATCATAAGGAAAAAAAAAGTTCTACTATTGTAAAGTTGTACACATTTTTCTTCACTAGAAGTCTTGTAGTTTTATGATCACACACGCTAAATGAGTTAAATCGTCTAAGTCATATATTGGTAGACTAGTATTTGCCTGTAAACATACATAACAAATTGTAAGAGATTTCGCAACATATGTATTCTATGGAGATGTACGTGATAACAAAAAGCATTGTCTCGAGGGCTGTGCACCTTTGAAATATTAATACGTATTTATTGTGCAATAGGCTGTGCCATACACCAGGTTTAGCCTTTATGGTAAACTTTTCAGTAACAGATGTTTTGTTAATAATTTTTTTGACGAATTAAACGAAGAGGGATTTAATTTACTTTGGCTGTGAAAAATAAATAGAGCTTGGAACAAAGTATTTTAATGGTCATTCTTGGATTTATTGAGGTTTTTCGCGAAAGACAAAAAAACGAACATGTTTATGGAATCTTTTTTTCGATCTTTTTTGTTACAAACTTCGGATAACACTGGAGTCAATAAAATATAATTAACGTAGCTATTTCTACAAAATCTCAATGTTTTTGACTGATTTTAAAAACGTGCTAAGATGAAAAATATTATTCGAATATGCAGGATAGGGATAGCACAATTTTGGGCCTTTTTTACATATCTGATTTGTCTAATTTTAATAATATTAAAACAATAATACAAAAATAAAATAATTGGTGTATTCAAGAAAATTCGAATTTTTACCGTTCGGGAAATCAAGAAATATTTCCTTCCATTTGAATGATCATAACCTTAACTGTTCGGTTTGCTACACATTATACAACAATTTTAAATGTTGACAAAGAGTAAAGTTTTAAACAGACACAAAAGTTATAATAAATGGTCTCACCGCTCGTAGAAATATCCTAATATAGATGCCAGGGGGCGCTGATATTCACTCGGTTGTGTTTTGACTCTCTACAGTCAAAGAGTTTTGGCGAACAGTTCCTTGGTTCCTCTTGGGAGTCACGTGATACATCTTAAACTGGCCCCCCAAACAAATCTTTCTACAGGACTTACTGGGGCCGTGATTGAGCACGTGTCAGATTCTCTTTAGAAATGAAAAGTGTTATCCATCCTTCATTCGTCACAGGATGACTGTATAATCTCCATCCCAGGAGACTTCTTTTTTGACTAACAAGCGTGTGGTGTATCATATAAAAGCTGAAAAGGTGGCATTTGATAACGACTGGAGCCTATTAATGTGTTTTGTATAGCTGAATGAGTGGTCAATATTCTTTATGTTAGAAAATGTATTTCGTCAGTTTCTTGAACCAACATTTTACACGCCTACCTTCTTCGTGTAAAAGGTCAAAATCGGTTTAATTAGCACATGTAAGGCATAACGCTTATAATCATAGATCAACACATCAACTATTTATATAACCGAGCTTTCTATTTTAGCGATATCATGAGAAAACGCTTCTTCTCTTATAAGACTTATTCACCCAAGGAACAGTGTCCATAATACAGATCAAAATATATGAACACTACAATCTCCAGTTAAAGACGTTGTTAAGTGTCCCTCTGGTACGCAGGTGAAACATGGAATATAACCTTAAGCTAATAGTACACGCGATATATGTGTGTATTCAAGTATATGTAGCATTAAGCATGACTTAAGAATCTATCAAATTTTCGAAGTTATTAAAAGCTTCATATTGCACGTGCTATTTGATAATTTTAAGATTCGGTATTTTAGATAACTGAAAGTTCGTTTTATGGTCTGAAGGAAACCTAACTGATTACCTGGTAAAAATTCTGTTAAATGAGGTCAAGTTTGATTAAATTTCGCTTAAAACACAAAATTATTTTCAAGGTCTATCAATCAGTTTCTATCTTTCATGATATTATCGACTTCGTAGGTTAGGAATAGCATATTTACTGTATATAAGCTCTCAACAGAGAATGCCTACAATGTGTAAATAATATTATATCCAAAATGATTTTTAAGTTGTTCATGATTTCTGAATTTGTTAATCTGTATATAAATATATATAACCAAATGTGAAGATCACCCATTTTGGTAAGCATAATAAAAAATTAATCGTATCATATGGTGTTTCTTTTCTTTTTACATATAAACTTACAACTCAGTTTACTGATAAATTTTACTCTTTCCAATTCAGTTGTTTTTATTCAGTTATTCAGAAAGTCAAAATCTTACCAAAGATGAAACAACAACAACAACGACAAAACGTTCATTTTTGGCATTTTGCTCTTTCCAATTCAGTTCTTTTTATTCAGTTATTCTGCAAGTCAAAATTTTACCAAAGATGTAAAAAACGTTCATTTTGGGGCATTTCCCTTTTTCCAATTCAGTTGTATTTATTCAGTTATTCTGCAATCAAAATCTTACCAAAAATGAAACAACAACAACAAAACGTTCATTTTTGGCATTTTGCTCTTTCCAATTCAGTTGTTTTTATTCAGTTATTCTGCAATCAAAATCTTACCAAAGATGAAAACAACAACAAAACGTTCATTTTTGGCATTTTGCTCTTCCCAATGTTTCAAATTATCCACTGAATGATCGTTCAGAAAAGATAATCCCCCCAAAAAACAATGAGCAGGTAAATATTTTAATCCAAGCACACAAAATATATTAATTACCAGAACAGGTAAATAGTCTTGCAAATTTTCAACCTTGAGATTTTCTTGCTTCATTAAAAAGTCTGTATAAATACCTGAATGATGATTTATTGTTAGATACGCAAGCCCAAACGATATCAGTACATTTGAAAAGAACATTATCAATTCAAAAGTATGCTAAATAAGAATTTTGGTCCTTTTTTCTCTCTCTATTAATCCGTACATCTGCCCGTCTGTCTATTCATCTATGAGTGTGTATATATACACTCTTCTATAGGTCTAAATCCCTTCTTCCAATTCTGTCTTAGTTAATTATGGTGTATTATGCCGTAAAGAAAAAGTTACTATTATGAGAATTTAAATATAAAGTTTAGGAACTATCACTTACCTAACTGCTTTAATGGCCAGTCTTTGATGGTTTGGTTGTCAAGGAACTCGACTCGCAATATACTGGTTCGCGGGATCGAATCCCGTCGCCAAATATGCCTGCTCTTTCAGCCTTGGGGGGCGTTATGATGTGAGAGCTGGCGGTGGGTTTTATTGATTAGATGACTTCCCTCTATTCTACCCCTTCACTATTAGAACAGCTAGATTTACGCGAAATGCAACAAACAAACATATTGTTTTTGATTGAATGTTAATAATAATTATTATTTATATGCTTTTTCACAAACTCTTAACATTTCTGTTTCACTTACGCAAACAGATCATGCTGAAATATTAATTACATGGCTAGCAGAAACGGCTGTAATGGGTATTAAAAACTTTCATTAAAATGAAGTATGTCTTAGGGACACGTGCCCAGTGAAGGTTAGTTTCAAGCTGCCTTTGTTAACCTGAAGATGACCTAAGAAGGTCGAAACGTTGTTTTTATACTTTATTTTAATTAAAGTTTTTAATACCCGTACCAGCCGTCTCTGCTATACATTTTTACTTCAAGTGGGTTTCTCGTCATCATTAACTACATGACTATTGTTGGTGAACTGGTAGTCCATTTGAGTTACATCAATTAATATCACATGTTTGGCATACAAGTATAGGTTTAATCTGATAGACGTACATTGATAGAGATACCTCTCCCACTAGGATACACATGTTCACATAGCTTGTGATCTGGCTTTATTTGGCTGTCTTATGATTACAACGCTTTTCATTTTGAGGTCGGTAATTTAAATGACTACATCACTCGAGGTACAAAAATTGCAGCTATATTACACTGATATACAGTTATTAGGATTGGATGATACAATATATTATAACGATACTTTTATTTTTATATACATTTCAAATCGCCAATTAACTCTTACCTGTTCAAGACCGGTGAGGTGCCAGCATCATCCATAAAGAACTTTAAACATGGCTAATGCAATTTGTTTGTTATTAAGTACATAGCTACACAATGGGCTATCTGTGCTCTGCTCGCAGCGGGTATTAAAACCGGATTGCTAAGTCACAGAGAAAGAAAAATTACACAGTGAGAAAGGCGCATGAATTATTGATTTACAAAATAAAATAAAACTCGACGATGTATCGTTCAAAAAGTATTTAGAAGAACGTACTTAATTAGCATAAGATTATTTTGTTGGAACTGAATCCCCATCCCACCAAACATGCTCGTCCTTACAGCCGTTGGGACGTTATAATGCGATGGTCAATCCCACTATTCATTGGTAAAAGAGTAGCTCAAGAGGTGGTGGTGGGTGGTGATGACTAGCTGCCTTCCCTCTAGTCTTTCACTGCTAAATTAGGAACGGCTAGTGATAGATAGCCCTCGTGTAGCTTTGGGCGAAATTCAAAAAGCAAACTAAATGCTAAGAAAATGTAAACAAAAAAAAATCCAGAACTGAGGATAGTGTTACTCGAAGAATTCAACACTGAAATTGTTCAGAACAACCCTTTAGAAATAAATGTGAAAATATAGGATATGCATAGAGTTAGATTTAACAAATAAACTATTCAAAAGCGGTTGCAAAAAATAACAACAACAAAAAACAATTGTCTATACGAAAATTGTGCGACCAAAACGTTTTATAAGTCATGTGTAAACAGAATCATGTACTCAAACTTGGTAAAATACGTAAAACCTAGAAGGCCAAATGAGATAATGTGGTGTGTTGGAATGACATGTACTGAATCTCCTGGTTATGCCGGAGACGTAACTATAAGTTTTGTATGTAATTATGAATCTATAACGATGTCAGAACATTTCTGCTTCATGACTGGGATATACTTTCAAAACTGGGGGTATTACGATGAAGGAACAATATCCCAGCATTCTGGAATCTCATGCAATGCCCTAGCTTTGAATTTCAGCACACTAATGAACCAAAACATACATATTGCGGTGCTTAAGAAGATAATATGAAGGAGATGGT